CCCCAACCCTTTAAACCCTGGCAAGCCCTGACCCCTAATTACCCCCAAGCCCTTCAAACCCTAACTTAACCCTCAAACCTGCCGGATTGGATGCTCGGTGCCTCACGCAAAATGCAGAGATCTGGGGGTGGTGTGGTCATTGTTTTTGCTTTATCAGGCGCTTGGGGCTTGAGGCTTGAGGGACTTGGGGATTCAAGGTTTGGGTTATCCTAAACCCAAACCCTAAACCCCAAAACCCTAAACCCTAAAGCCCCAAACCCTAAACCCCAAACCACCTCAGGTTCAGGACTTCCGGGCTCCAACGGGTGAATGTGGAGAGGGGGTGGGGGGGTCAGGGGCGCTTCTGTTGGGGTGGAGTTCATTCCTAAAGCCAAAGAGCCCCACACCAGTATCCCTTCATTGCAGGAATATACCTTAACTCACATGAGGAGCCTTATCACTAAAGGTATCTTCCATACCCCCCCCCCCCCCCAAAAAAAAAAAAAAAAAAACACCCAAAATAAACTCAGGACCTGGGACAATCCCTACGACATCGTCCGGGCAGAGCTTGACTTGGAGGTGGGACCTCCACGGGCCGAGGGTTTGGGGTTTACAGTTTGGGGTCATAGTCTAAGGTTAGAACCATGGGCTTGGTTATAGGGATCCGAAGTAGGGGCCCTTACTATATATAGTGCATATCAGGGTGAAATAACAAGGGACCCAAATTAAGGGCCCATGCTTCGGATCCCCTGCATAGGGCTTCTGCGGCTTATGCGGTGTGTAGGGTTCATAAGTGTATGGGGGTCTTGTATTGCTTGCAAGGTTTATAGTCTATAGGCTTTATGTAGGAAACTCAAAAAATCCAATAGGGATTGAGGGTCCGACGTTAAGGGTGCTTTTCGGCGCTTAGGGCATTAGAAGCTCTACGAGACCTGTACTTGTGCTTTGGCTGGGACTTTTTTCTGGGTTTATGGGTCTCGAGAGTAGGGAGGGCCTGCAAAGCTTGACCATTCAGGATGTCGGTATCGGGTGGGGCGGGGCGCACGTTCAGGATGTCGGTATCGGGAGGTGGCCACCCCACGTGCAATATAATCGAAACCTTACACCAAACTCCTAAATCCCGAGCCTTACATCCCAAACACATGCCGAGATCGAAGGTATACAGTTCCGGTGTTCAGCTCAGGGGCAGTTTTCTGCATCATGCTACCCTTGTGGGCCAACTTCTCCTTTGAGTTTCAGCCCTTCGCAGCCCATTAGTGTGCTCTCTGACGCCACTGCGCCCGCCCTTCCGCCGCCCACAGCGATGGCACGCCGAGCCCATGGCATCTTAGCCCTGGCCGTGGCGGCTTTCTGGCTTAAGGGGTATAAGGACGTACCCTATATAAGCCCTATATACAAATATACAAGAATATATATATATATATATATATATATACATATACATATACATATATATATATACATATATATATATACATATATATACACATAAATATATAAATATATATGTATATATATATATATATAAACGCATACCGTATATGGTACCTATGTACGAAGGACCTTTAGGTATAATGTGAGTAACCCTCTTTGTTGCAGTATTAGAGAGACAACTGCGCCTTGGCGACTTTTCATTTCAAAGATTTCAAAGGTTTCCGAACCTTTGAAATCTTTGAAATCTAAATTCGGGAGGGCGGGTTTTAGATTTCTAAGGTTTCAAAGGTTTGAAAACCTTTGAAATCTTTGAAACCTAAATTCGGGAGGTGGGGTTTTAGATTTCAAAGGTTTCAAAGGTTTCAAAACCTTTGAAACCTTTGAAATCTAAATTCGGGAGGGGGGATTTTAGATTTCAAAGGTTTCAAAGCTTTCAAAGATTTCAAAGGTTTTAATGGGTTTGGGAAACTCCCGGGGGAAACTCCCGGGAGTTTCCCCAACCCATTAAAACCTTTGAAATCTTTGAAATCTTTGAAATCTAAATTCGGGAGGGTGGGCTTTTAGATTCTTAGATTTCAAAGGTTTCAAAGGTTTCAAAACCTTTGAAACCTTTGAAATCTAAATTCGGGAGGGGGGCTTTTAGATTTCAAAGGTTTCAAAGATTCCAAAGGTTTAATGGGTTTGGGAAACTCCCGGGGGAAACTCCCGGGAGTTTCCCCAACCCATTAAAACCTCTGAAATCTTTGAAATCTTTGAAACCTAAATTCGGGAGGGTGGGCTTTTAGATTTCAAAGGTTTCAAAGGTTTCAAAACCTTTGAAACCTTTGAAATCTAAATTCGGGAGGGGGGATTTGAGATTTCAAAGGTTTCAAAGGTTTCAAAGATTCCAAAGGTTTTAATGGGTTTGGGAAACTCCCGGGGGAAACTCCCGGGAGTTTCCCCAACCAATTAAAACCTTTGAAATCTTTGAAATCTTTGAAGTCTTTGAAATCTAAATTCGGGAGGGGGGGCTTTTAGATTTCAAAGGTTTCAAAAGTTTCAAAACCTTTGAAACCTTTGAGATCTAAATTCGGGAGGGGGGATTTTAGATTTCAAAGGTTTCAAAGGTTTCAAAGATTCCAAAGGTTTTAATGGGTTTGGGAAACTCCCGGGGGAAACTCCCGGGAGTTTCCCCAATCCATTAAAACCTTTAAAATCTTTGAAATCTTTGAAATCTTTGAAATCTGGAGGGGTGATTTTAGGTTTCAAAGATTTCAAAGATTTCAAAGGTTTTAATGGGTTTGGGAAACTCCCGGGGGAAACTCCCGGGAGTTTCCCCAATCCATTAACACCTTTAAAATCTTCGTGGAGGAACAAGGAGCAAGCGGGGTTTGCATGAATCCTAAACTCAAGCCCCTAGGCCCTGGGCCCTCCATCGCCCATAAGCCATTGATTTGAAGTTTCCAGGAAAGAGAGAGGCAACTCGAAGCGACTCGACGTCTCGTGGACAAGTGGAGGCCGAAGCGGAAGGAGCCACCTATAATTCCCTGAGCCGGGTTCCTAGCCATCCATCACCAAACCCTCCGGTTGAGCGTTTATGGAGTAGGGCTTAAGGTCAGGGATCGGAGGTGGGGTCTACAGGGGGCGGTCCATATGTGAGCCGTTGAGCGATTTTGTGCTGGAGGAGGACGACGATGCCGAGCTCCTGGACTGATGGCTTTGACTTCAAACCCTAAACCTTACTCCGAAACCCTTAAGGCCTAGAACCCATGCGCCAGACATGAAAGTGGAAGCGCCACTTTTCTCCGACGACAGCCCGCGCGCTGGGCGCAAAAGACTCATGATGAGAAGCAAGTTCGGATCTTGACCTCCGTGCAAGAGGTTGCGGACACCACACTACCCGGCAGTTTTCCACCGGGGCCCAAGTTTTTGGTTTTGACCTTTTCGCCATGGCGCCCGGAAGGAAGCAGCGCCGAGCAGAGCGCTTGCAGTCGTGGAACGAGGTTACGCAAGCTTAAAGATTGTCGTAGCACTATGACAAACGGTCAAACCTTTAGCGAATCATCCCAAAACCGGTCTAAATACAATAAGACGAAAACCATGGACCCGCCAACCCAGAGATCCAACACTATGATCATTCTCCGGTCAGGGCCGCTGGTATGTGCAGCAGTCGTGGAAGCGCTCGAGGCATCAGGACTGGCGCAGCAATGACTCCATGGACTACAGCTCCTCGAACGGCAGTCGCCCCTTGGACTACAGCTCCTCGAACGGCAGTCGCCCCTTGGACTACAGCTCCTCGAACGGCAGTCGCCCCTTGGACTACAGCTCCTCGAACGGCAGTCGCTCCTTGGACCACAGCTCCTCGAACGGCAGTCGCTCCTTGGACCACAGCTCCTCGAACGGCAGTCGCTCCTTGGACCACTCGAACGGCAGTCGCCCCTTGGACTACAGCTCCTCGAACGGCAGTCGCCCCTTGGACTACAGCTCCTCGAACGGCAGTCGCTCCTTGGACCACAGCTCCTCCAATGGGCAGAAGCTCCCTGTGCAGCCGCCACACCCACCGCCCGGCTGGCAGGCCTGGAAACCTTAACCGCTAAACTCTATCTGACGCCTGGGCTTGGGGTTCAGGGTTTAGTGTTCAGGGTTTAGGGTCTAGGGTTTGGGGTTTTGGGTTTAGGGTTGAGAGTTTAGGAGGCAGATACACCGGTCCAAGGCAAGAAAGCAAATATATTTTTTTAAGGTTCTAAGGGAATAAGAGAGAGTACCTCTATTTTCGGAACCCTATAACCCCTAATAAACCCTAACCCTAAACCGTAAACCGTAAACCCTAAACCCTAAACCCTTTGTGGAGTAAAGGGCTTGCCTCGCAAAAGCCTACTAAAACACTGGGTTTATGGGTCAGGGTTTAGGGTTTGGGGTCTAGGGTTAGGGTTTAGGATTTCGGGTTTAGGGTTTAGGCTTTAAGGTCATTACCCAGAAGCAGCCAAATACAAGGAGAGAGAGGATGCAATCGCCGAAAACTATGGAGGAACAAGGAGCAAGCAGGGTTTGCATGAATCCCTATACTCAAGCCCTTAGGCCCTGGACCCTCCATCGCCCATAAGCCACCGACTCGAAGTTTCCAGGAAAGAGAGAGGCAACTCGAAGCGATTCGACGTCTCGTGGACAAGTGGAGGCCGAAGCGGAAGGAGCCACCTATAATTCCCTGAGCCGGGTTCCTTCACCCCTAAACCCTAAGCCCTCCATCACCAAACCTTCCGGTTGAGCGTTTATGGAGTAGGGCTTAAGGTCAGGGATCAGAGGGCGGTCCATATGTGAGCCGTTGAGCGATTTTGTGCTGGAGGAGGACGACGATGCCGAGCTCCTGGACTGATGGCTTTGACTTCAAACCCTAAACCTTACTCCGAAACCCTTAAGGCCTAGAACCCATGCGCCAGACATGAAAGTGGAAGCGCCACTTTTCTCCGACGACAGCCCGCGCGCTGGGCGCAAAAGACTCATGATGAGAAGCAAGTTCGGATCTTGACCTCCGTGCAAGAGGTTGCGGACACCACACTATCCGGCAGTTTTCCACCAGGGCCAAAGTTTTTGGTTTTGACCTTTTCGCCATGGCGCCCGGAAGGAAGCAGCGCCGAGCAGAGCGCTTGCAGTCGTGGAACGAGGTTACGCAAGCTTAAAGATTGTCGTAGCATTATGACAAACGGTCAAACCTTTAGCGAATCATCCCAAAACCGGTCTAAATACAATAAGACGAAAACCATGGACCCGCCAACCCAGAGATCCAACACTATGATCATTCTCCGGTCAGGACCGCTGGTATGTGCAGCAGTCGTGGAAGCGCTCGAGGCGTGAGGACTGGCGCAGCAATGACTCCATGGACTACAGCTCCTCGAACGGCAGTCGCCCCTTGGACTACAGCTCCTCGAACGGCAGTCGCCCCTTGGACTACAGCTCCTCGAACGGCAGTCGCCCCTTGCGCTACAGCTCCTCGAACGGCAGTCGCTCCTTGGACCACAGCTCCTCGAACGGCAGTCGCTCCTTGGACCACAGCTCCTCGAACGTCAGTCGCTCCTTGGACCACTCGAACGGCAGTCGCCCCTTGGACTACAGCTCCTCGAACGGCAGTCGCGTCTCGGCCCACAGCTCCTCGAACGGCAGTCGCCTCTTGGACTACAGCTCCTCGAACGGCATGTCCTCTTCTTCTGCCAGCACTTTGGAAAGCCGCGACGCCTGTCGTCCTTTTCTCAAGTTTTGGGATCTTCGGGATGAAAAAAGTAGTAAGAGTAAAGAGTTTTCTTGAGATGTATTAAGGTTCAAAGTTATTTGTTTTGCAAAGAAAGAGTTTTTTCAATGTATAAGGTTAGAGTTATTTTGGCATGTTCTTTCAGGAGTTCGAGACGCGCAAGACGCTGCTGCTTTCGAAAGGCCCCGGCAACAAGTGGCGCCGCATCCAAAGCAGCATCTTGAAAGCATCAACATTGATCTTGTCTCCCCGTCTTCTGGTATATGTCCCCAAAATCAGGAATCATCTAATCAGATTTGAGGGCCATTTGCGCTACATGCGAGAAGATAGGTGTCTCCCCCTTCCTCCCACGTTGGTTTTTGCAGCTCTGCAAGGATTCAGGGTTCAGGGTTCCGGGGCCCTAAACGAAAAACAACCAAACCATTCCAAACCTACCCCTAGTGTTTGCCATAGCCCCTGTAGAACCTGAATGAAGAACTTCATCATAGAAACCATAGCAAGACATGACACATACAAAAAAATCTCCAAGGAAACTATCCCTAAAACCTAAATCCGACACCTTATGAGTCTCGGCAGAAACACGGAACCCGGACATGATGAAACCGTGTTCTATTGGTACAGTAGTGAGACGGGTGCGTCCCTGAGATTCTAGAAATTTTGGAAGGCTTGGAGCCTATTGGCCATCCTGGCCCAGCTCGCACCGTACACGCTTTGCGACAAACATCTTACATTTGGGTTTAGAAGGGTTTAGGGTTTAGGGTTTTATATTTGGGTTTAGAAAGGTTTAGGTTTTAGGGTTTAAGGGTTTTATATTTGGGTTTAGAAGGGTTTAGGGTTTAAGGTTTAAAGGTTTTTTTAGTTGGGTTTAGAAGGGTTTGGGGTTTAAGGTTTAGTTTTTTTTTAGTTGGGTTGGAAGGGCTTTGGGTTTAGGGTTTAAGGGTTTTGAAGGGTTTAGGGTTCAGGGTATAAGGGTTTTATATTTGGGTTTAGCGGGTTTTGGGTTTAAGGGGTTTTTTGGAGTTTACAAGGGTTCAGGGCTTAAGGTTTCAAGGTTTTATGTTTGGGTTTAGAAGGGTTTACGGTTTAGGTCCACACGGAAAAGAGCTGGTCCCGGCGCGGCCGCAATGGCCAAGTTTGTCGAACTTTTGGGGGCTCCTGAGTCCTGAACCTTAAGCCATATCTTCATTGGCTTGACTTTCCAGGCTTTAAGGTCGGGTCCAGACGAAAAGGAGCTGGTCCCGGCGCGGCCGTAAGGGCCATGTTTGTCAGAGTTTTGGGGGCTCCGGAGTCCTGAACCTGAAGCCTTCACGCTTGAAGGTTTATGGGTGCCCATAACTAGCATTCTATGTCCCCTAAGCAAGGATATTTTCCATAGTTACACTACTTATATCTCTACTTTTAAGTACCCATGAACCTGCCAGTGGGCCTTTGTGGTACAGACTGCGACTTTCCAAGCCAGACGCCCACAGAGGCCGTCAGTCACCTCCAGGTCTCGAGGCTCCAAAGGAAAGCTCAACCCTAGACCAAAAACCCTAAACCTTAGACCCCAAACCCTAAACCCTCAGCCTTAAAACCCAAAGCCTCTAAACGCTTTCGAGGGTTCAAGTACAGGTCCAGACGAAAAGAGCTGGTCCCGGCGCGGCCGTAAGGGCCAAGTTTGTTGAGTCCTGAACCCCAAGCCCCATCTCCACGTCCGAACTCAGCGATCATTGGCTTCACTTTTTAGGGTCCCAAGAACCACAGTTTAGGGAAGCCACCCTAAGCCGATGAAAGTCACCTCGTAGAGGCCCTTACCCTGAACCCTGAACCCTAAACCTAAACCCTAAACCTAAACCCTAAACCCTAAACTTTTATCCTCCGCCCTGTTTCGCAGCTTAGGGGTCGGAATAATTACTTGTAGTATTCCCTTATGGTCCTTGTATCCCTCTACTATAACGACACCCAAAACCCTATTTTAATTATTGAGGCCCCTACAGTACCCTACTCCCGGCAACCTTGCGCTGAAGCTGAAGTGGGGAGGGTCAAGTTCGACCGGGCCAGACGAAAAAGAGCTGGTCCCTTCGCGGCCGTAAGGCCAAGTCTTTCCAAACGTCAAAAGCTGACGACAGTGAGGAAAGGCTTGAGAACCCTATAAATCTAAGTAACTGTACTGTGGTATGTTGTTTTTATAGGGCAACACGACAGGAACTCACATTATACCTAAAGGTCCATGGCACATAGTACCTACATACCGAAGTAGCCCCTAAATAACCCCCCAAATAACCTTTAATGTCCCTTATACGGTTCCCTTCTTTAGTCCCTTGACTGGCAAGTTTTTTTCAGAGGTGTATGTAGGCTTTGTGCACGCTGTACATGTCCGTGTGTATGTGTAATTGTATGCACATTTGGATCTATCTTTTTCTATCTATCTACTTGTCTTTTTGTATTGAGTGCTTGATAAACATGTACATATACATAGACATAGACATATACATATACATAGACATATACACATGTATGACGCAGAGCAGCTGTTTTACACACGGTATATACCATACACCCGACCATATACCATATACCCGTCGCCTGGTGTTTTTCAGCCGTTAGATCGCAGTGTTCAGAGCTATGGCTTGCGATTGGGCTTTCAAGATTCTGGCTACGATGTTCATGGTTTAGGGTTTAGTGTGGGGTGCCTGTAGGGCTCAGGGTGACCAAAAATCCTAAGCCCAAACTTTGATGCCAACGTGATGCATTCCTTTCCCGTTTGCCCCCCCCCCCCCCCCCCCCCCCCCCCGATGGCCTTGTTGCACCCTCAACTTTTAAAGCTCTAAAACCCGAACCTTTGCAGCACCAGGACGGACCAACATGTCAGAACCAAAGCTCTCATACCCTTCTATCCCGAAGTCTTCGAGCCTTCAAGGCTGGACTCTAAACTGTCAACCCTAACCCCCTGAAACTCGACAGCTCCTGAAACGAAAATGTACAGGAAAACCCTTCTTAAACCAAGAGCCTGGGGATCCGGGCTGGGGTCCTGACCGCTACTGTAGCCCTAAACTCCAAAAATCCCGAAGCCCTAAACTTAAAATCCTAAACCCCAAACTTAAAACACCTAAGCCCGACACCCTAAACGAAAAAAACATGAAACCTCAAACCTTAAACCTCAAACCTCGAACCCTCAACCCTAACCCCCAAGCCCTAAACCCTAAACCCCAAACCCAGGCAGCGCTGGTCTGGCAATGCGTGGATCTGGCCTTCCTAACTCCGAACCCGGAGTCTACGCCTACGAGGTGGGAGGGTTTAGGGTTTAGGGTTTAGGGTTGAGGGTTGAGGGTTGAGGGTTGAGGGTTTAGGGTTTAGGGTGTAGGGTGTAGGGTTGAGGGCTTTTGACTTTGGGGTTTCTGACTTTAGGGTTGAGTGTTTAGCTTGTTTTAAGTTCACGGCTTAGGGTTTTTAAGTTCAGGGTTGAGGGTTCAGGATTTAGGGTTTAGAATTGTAGGGTTCAGGGCCTATTGTAATCCCCATTAAGGACTGTCAGTATAAGGAGGAACATCCCAACATGAGAACCTGAACCCTACACCCTAAACCCTAAACCCCAAACCCTAAACCCTAAACCCTAAACCCTAAACCCTAAACCCTAAACCCTAAACCCTAAACCCTAAACCCTAAACCCTAAACCCTAAACCCTAAAGGCGCCACCTCGCCGCCGGCCTTGCGTCCGGACTCGCCGGATTGGTCGGCCTGGAGGCCGCGGAGGCCGCCACTCTTTGGGGGGGGCTTAGGGTTTAGGGTGTAGGGGGTTTAGGGTTTAGGGTTTAGGGTTTAGGGGCATCTATAGGCCCCTTAGGAATGATGTTTTGTTTCTTATTCATATAGAACCCAAGGGAAACATAAGAATGTGTGTAAGGTTCTAAGGAGCAGTATAGGCATAGGTTTAGTGGGTAAGCCCTCAACCCTTGCAAGTCAGCCTACATTTAGGGTGCCGGTAGGGTCTTGATATTGCCCTTTTGATATTGAGGGTAAGCCCTCAACCCTTCAAAGGCCCGGCACCCCAAGCTTGGGGTGTAGGGTGTTTTGATACACCCGAACGGCGGCAGGCTTACGACCTGCCAGATCTGCCCTACGCCTACGATGCCCTGGAGCCCTCCATCGACAAGGCGACGATGGAGTTCCACCACGCACCTCGGCCTGGTTGCCCGTAAAGCTAAAGACCCCATAGGCCGGACCATCAAAAGCGTCTATGACATATACTATTCTATGTACATGCCTAGATAATGATGTTGAGATTCATATTACCATGCTCTTCATCAGAGAACTGGGCTCCCAACACCTGGCTTTGCTCGAAGAAACGGAACTCTGAGCCCGCCTTCAGCCTCAAGCAAAACGACAAACCATAGGTTTGTGTTGCCTCGAGCTTGACTTGCGCAATAGTGCAATGCAGGAGCCTGAAGATTGTCCCCTTATACTCTGTCAATGTGGCGCTGTCTGGATCTAGGATTTCAGGGTTTAGGGCTTTAGGGTTCAGGGTTTCGAGTTAGCGGCCGGAGCTTCTAAAAAAGCTCCTGCTGCGTGCAAGGAGCATTAATTGTTTGGGTGGGGGAGGGCGCGCGGGGTGTTGCAATCCGGACAAGGGTCCCTGGTCGTCTTATCCAATCCAAACGACGTGGCTTCCCGTCGTGACTTTTCGGGCTTAGAGACTTAGAGATGTTTGGGGTTTGGAGTTCACAAGGTTTAGGGTGAGGAGCTTCCCCATACCTTCCATCACTCTCTGTGACCGCTGAGCCAGAGGACAAGCATCACCTGACCTATGTGACGAACATCAACAAGGCGCTGGGGCAGAGTAAACTCAAACACCCCCCTAACCTCAAAACCCCCAACACCCCAAACCCTAAATTCCCGAAGACGTACACCTTTTGGGGCCACTCAGCTTGGGCTCACATGATGAGCAAGCGCCAATACTTTCGTACTTTCATGCAAGCAAGGACACGGGAAAAAAAAAAAAAACACCTGTAAAGCGACGGGAACGCTTTAAAAGCGACCCCCACCCCCCCAACATGTTGCTCCCAGTCGCACATGAAGTGCGGACAGTCACTCACATGGAGGGTCGCTCTAAATGTGTTCAACTGCACTCCGGTCGATGTCCACAGAGGTGAGCAGGTCGCCCCAAAACAAACTATAGCAGTCTAACAGGCTTGAGCCTTGAAGCCCGTGCCGTAAACCCTAAATCCCGAACGGCTGAACTGCAAGCCTAGAGCTCTAAGCCGTACAATTGGGGGAGGGAGAATGAAGCTGCAGGCCCCTATGCAAAAAAAAAATGTCCGACCGCACACCCGAGACTCGGGTTGTTGGGGATTTACGGTTCAGGGTTCCCATATCACACTAAAGCTTGAGTAACAGGAAGTCCCTACAAGCCCTAAGCCCGAAACCCTAAACCCTAAACCTTAAACCCTAAACCCTCAACCCTACCTAAACCTTAAACCTCCCTGGAAGGCTCTTGAGGGCAAGAGCCAGCCTCCACTTGTCGAGCTCCAGAAGACGGCCATCAAGGCCCTGTGCATAGGGGGGCTTAGGGTGCAGGGTTTAGGGTTTTAAAGGGCTTGCAGGGTTGTTGTTTTTGTTTGTTTAATGGGGCTTCCGGGGCTGTTAGGGTTTATAGGGTTCACAGGGTCGGTTCTTTTTGGGTTTAAGCGGCTGTTAAGGTTTATAGGATTTACAGGGTAGGTTTTTTGTTGGGGTTTGTTTTTTTGGGTGTATAGGGTTTCTAGTTACGGGTTATAGGGTTTGAGTCTCTCCGACTTCTGGGTGTTCAGTTCTGGAATTGCTGGAGCACGCTTCGATTCCTTACCGGGACCCTGAGTCAGCCCCGAATCCTGCCCATGTGCCTCCTCCCCCTCGGGGTTCTTAGTGTCAAGACCCTTGGCGCTCTAGAAGTCATGTATTGTGAATAGGGAGCTGGAAGAAGTGGTGCTTTTGGGGGTTATAGGCTGAGAGGTTCAGGGTTTAGGCCGCAGGGCCATAGCCATAGTTTGGGCTCCAAGCTTTGGGTGGCTTTGAAGGGCAGATGTGCTCGGGCCAGCATTGCAAACGATGACTTCTATGGCCAGCTGTTCCGTGGAGCCTGCCCGAAATCGTGGTCGGCAAAAAGCCTGGAGCTTCTCAGGAAGTATGACGTCCCGGACTTTCCTGAAGCAGGTGGTTGCTCGCTTGCTCCTTACGCCGCCCTTCTCTGCTCTCGAATTTCTTCTGCTGTCTCCGCCCTCGTGCTCTTTTGTGCGTCGCACTCCGTGCCTTTCCCCCGGTCCTCTCGTCGGGTCCCTCCTCTTGCCTCCCTTTGATGCTGGGCCAAGATCTGCGGAGGGGGCTCCCCTGCCCTCACCCACTGCGGCTGGCTGACTGGCACAATCACCACCATCACCACCCAAACCCTAAACCGAAAACCCTAAGCTTTTCTACGTTTGTTAGTTTAGCTCACGGGTTGATGATCTTTGGGAGGAGCCATTCAGAGCCTGCCAGGCTGATGAGACTGTTACTTACTGCTTCTTCTTGGGAGTTAGATGCCCTAAACCCTGAGCCCTAAGCCTTGCAAACCTTAAACCTTGAACCAGACCCTGAACCCTAGGGCCCCTGGTGGAAAGGACGGGGCCGCGTTCCGCAACAGCGGCGGCGGAGCCTACAACCACAACTTCTTCTGGCTGGCAGCTAGGGTTGCAAAGTGAGGGCCTTATACGGGTTTAGGGCTTAGGGTTTGGTAGGGAACGTGAAGAACAAGCAGTGTGTTGGTCAAGTCCAGCCTGAGTTCAGCCTTACCTGAGTCCTAAGTCGCTACAACTTGGGTACGTGGACCCTTTCAGATTCAGTGCAAAATTGAGCCCGAGAAGAGCTGTCCTTGCATGCAGTTACTCTGTATGAACTCAAATAGACTACGTAAAGTGCCCATTTTATGTAATGAACTAGGCTCCCCCCCATGCCATATGTTGAGTCAGTGTTGTGATTGAGAGTTTTGCAAAAAGTCTTTAAGGTGCTCCCGTTCATGTCCGCACGCCTACGCTAGGCCCTAAACCTTAAACCTTAAACGCAGCGCATGTCTTGGACAGCTCCGTTCCGGAATCTAGGAATCTCAGTGGTGTCTTTTTCACAAATTGAGGTACCCTTGTTGTCAACTGCAGCATATGTACAGGGCTATCTCGGAATGCGCCGTAAATATCCCAAGAAATAGGAAAGCCTTTTGCTTGCGCAGATGTCAGGATCAGACAATTGAACAGTGCTGGTACTGTTTCTTAGACAAAGGGATCAACAACTATGATGCCCAGTAGTGTCCTTCTTCCCTCCTTTTTGGGGGCCTTAGGTTCCCTTATAGACCCCTTTAAGCAAAGAAGGGCACCCTTCTGTATTCCTAGGTTACACAAGCATTCAGATTGAGACCAGGAAATGGCTCCCACGGGCAAGGGCGGTTCGCCGTCAGAGAAGCTGGCGAAGGCCATCGACGAGTCGTTCGGATCCATGGACGACTTCAAGGCCGATGGTGTTAGGACGGTTTCTGGATTGTGCTGCGGGTGATCTATCCATATTGCTATGCTTTTCTCAAATTTGGAGAACTTGAAGCAGACCCCACGATTGAGGAGGTGGAGTTGCGGATTGCCGCGCATGTTAGCCCTGGTGTCAATGTAAGCATCGCTAGTGCTGGTGGTGGTCCAGAAGTTGCTGCCGTTACTGCAAGTCGTCCCTAAGACGACTGTGGGCCCGCCTTCAGCCCAGGAGCCCAAGACCTAGCAAGGCAGGAAATTCAGGGCAAAGAAGGGCTTGGGGGTTTGAGGTTTAGGCCTTACACCAGCGTTTAGAGGTTTAGGACTTAAGGCTAAACCCTAAACCCTAAACCCTAAACCCTAAACCCTAAACCCTAAACCCTAAACCCTAAACCCTTTGCAGGCCAAGTTCGAGGCAGCTGGTGCCCCTGGCGCCCGCTTCGGCTCCGGCTGGGTTACGCGGGCGGATTTCAGGGTTTAGAGGGTTTACAGGGCTTATAGGGTTTTTCATTGTGCATTATAGGGTTCAGGGTTTAGGTTTAGCAGCACCTTTGCAAAGGATTCGTTGCTTTGGCTTCCCTTTTGGCTTTAGAGCAGAACACGCGTCTCAGATGAGGGGCTGCTGGGAATCATGACTTCGATTCTTCTTGGCTGGGTTCGGGGCCCACAGTGTGATCAAGGCCACGCCCTGAGCCCCAGGCCCTAAGCCCTAAAATCGTCAGAGCCCGATGCCATCATGGAGGTAGGGGGCCAGTGAAGCTGCTTAAGGCTTAGGGTCCTTAGGGGTTAAGGTTGTGATGTCCTTGTCGGGGGTTCCCATGCTAAACAATGATTATCGTGGGATATTCGGGGGAACCCTGTTTGTTTTGGGGCATGCCAAACCTAATATATCAGCAGCTCGGAAGCCCCCCCCCCCCCACCCCCCAAAAAAAAGACAAACAACAAATAGCTCCGCGCCCCAACAAAAGGGTTCTGGGTTTTAGGTTTTGGTGAAAGCCTCGTGACATGAAGCTCAGCGCCCGTGCCCTCATCCAGGAATCTACCTCCGAACTCGACCCTAACCCTAACCCAGTGTGAAGCCCGTAGGTGCTTCTTGACCTCAAGTCCTAGACCCTTAACCCTCTAATCCCCCCCCCCTCCCCCCGCAAACGAAAAGAGACCCGAAACCCTTAACCCTAAAACCCTAAAACCCGAAACCCTAAGAACCGCTCTGAGGTTTGGCTGGTGGTCACAGACGACAAGACGCCCGGCGAAAAACACACAAACTCCAGATGCAAGTCGAGGTTTCGTGTGTCGGGGTCTAGGGTGTATAGGGTTTCAGGGTTTTGGGTTTTGGGCATTTAGGGTTTAGGGTTTAGGGTATTGAGGGTTTAGGGTATATAAGGTTCAGGCTTGCAGGGTTTGCAAGACTTGCTGTTGGCCTTACCAGCCGGAAGTTCAAAGTTGTGTTCGCAAGAACTAACACGCTGTTTGGTGTTAGGGTTCACGCTGTCTTCGCTAGGAGGGACCGGGCGGTGTTTCAGGTTTGCCGGTTATCTCTTGCTCATTTTTCATAATTAGATGGTAATATTCTCCCACCTTTGACTTTGAAGTCCTTGCGCGGGAATTCTATTCAGGGTTTAGGGTTTGTTGTGTACCTGCGAAGGATCGTTTGCTTCCATGCAACTTCACATCGGGTAGCGTTTGTGACGGGAATGAGGCCTGCATGGTGGAGGTTCTGGAGGACAAGAAGGAGATCTAAACCCAAAGACCTGAACCCCAAAATCCTCAACCCGAAGCCCTGATTAAATCCTAAATTCGCTATGCTACAAAAGTCTCTGTCCCGGGACCATAGCTGCGGCCAAGTTTTGGATTTTCTGTTCCGGATTTCAGGGCTTGGGATTGCGGTGGAACCCGTTGATTATTATTTCTGTGGCGGCTTTTCTGATACGGCGAGCCACGGCGAGCCAGATAAACAAGCTCGGCCTGCGCAGCAAACACAAAGAGCGCGCGCGCGCGCGTGTTTTGTTTCTTGCTGTGGCGGCACTTTTGGCTTCGCAGCGGCCAGGAAGTGAGGGAGTAAACCGTGCCTCCGCAGCAAAAACAAAGATAAGCGCGCGGGCTCCCAGGCAAACAAAAAGGAAAGGCGCCCGGCCTCCGCAGCCTGGTCGGTACTACTACTAGTGGTATTACTTATACTACTACCTATACTAGTACTACCACTACTACCACTACTACCACTACTACCACTACTGCTACTACTACTACTACTACCACCACTACCACTACCACTACCACTACCACTACCACTACCACTACGACTACTACTACTACTACTACTACTACTACTACTACTACTACTACTACTACTACTACTACTACTACTACTACTACTACTACTACTACTACTACTACTACTACTACTACTACTACTACTACTACTACTACTACTACTACTACTACTACTACTACTACTACTACTACTACTACTACTACTACTACTACTACTACTACTACTACTACTACTACTACTACTACTACTACTACTACTACTACTACTACTACTACTACTACTACTACTACTACTACTACTACTACTACTACTACTACTACTACTACTACTACTACTACTACTACTACTACTACTACTACTACTACTACTACTACTACTACTACTACTACTACTACTACTACTACTACTACTACTACTACTACTACTACTACTACTACTACTACTACTACTACTACTACTACTACTACTACTACTACTACTACTACTAGTAACTCTTACAGTAGTAGTACTACGACAAGTACGGCAACTGGCAGTGCTACTGCTACGACTACGACTACTGCTACTGCTTCTGCTATTGCTACTGCTTATTAAGTACTACTTGCTTCTTACTATTTACTACTTACTAGAAAGTATTACTTACTACTTACTACTTGCCGCTTACCGCTTACCACTGACCACTTACCACTTACTACTTACTACTTACTTGTAAGAGTACTTACTACTTATTACTACTTACTTCTTACTACTTACTACTTTCTACTTACTACTTACTTCTTACTACTTTCTACTTACTACTTACTACTCACTGCTTCCTACTTACTACTTACTACTCCTACACCTCGCGCCCATACACCCCCCCCCCCGCGTCTTTCAATGCCGCGCAAGCTTGCTTTAAAGCATATGACTCCCTGCCGAAAGCATCCTGCGAGCATGCGAACACTGTGTCTACGCTGCCCCCCAACCCCCCCCCCTTCCGATTTATAAAAAGAATGAACAAGACAAGAAAGACAAATAAATAGAATAATAGGAGAAAGAAAAAGAACAAAAACAAAAAACATTGAAGAAAAACACAAAAGACAAAACAAAGTAGAAGCAACAAGAAAGTAAATCAACTAGACGAAAAAGAAAACAAGAAACAACAATGAACATTAAAAAGAATAATAATAATAATGAAATGAAACCAATATAAAAACAAATAGAAGACAGAGAAAAACCATCACCCATGGTGCTGTTGCCAATTGGGGTGGCCGTGCCCCGCCCCCAGCCCCCCCCCCCCCGCTTTTCCAAGCTGTACAAGCTTCCACACAAACGCGCCCGACCTCCACAACAAAAAAGCGCCGCCCGATCCCCACAGAACAGAACGTGCCGTGCACAACAAAAAAGCGCGCCCGGCCTCCACAGCAAAAAACGCGCCCTGCCTCCGCAGCAAAAAAAACACGCCTGACCTCACAGCAAAAAAGGCACCAAGCCTCCACAGCAACAAGAAAGAGCGCCCGGCCTCCACAGCAAAACTGCGCCATACCTCCACAGCAAAACAGCCTCCACAACAAAACAAAAAAAAACCACCAGGCCTCCACTGATGGCCTCCACAGTTAACAACAAGTGCCAGGCCTCAGCAGCAAGAAAGCCTCCGCAACAACAGACACTCTTACCGATCGGGTTCCAGGCTGAGGCATCGCCTTGATTTGCGGACGTTCAACCCCCTTGAATGCGATTGACCACCTAAAGCCCACATCGCGGAAACCTGAGCCCGTGGCTTTTGATTCTGAGGGTCTTGACTGTAAACCTCTTAATGTCACCCTCACTATCCACCCATTCACATAAACCAGACCGTCTGAGCTAAGCGTTCCTGACCCGAAGACTTGCATCTCAAAGCCCTTATAGCACCCTCTCGTCCCACGCCGTAGGCTGCGCAAGTTGGGAGTTCTGGGCCTAGGCTTTAGGGTTTTAGGGAGGTTACGAACCGCGAAAGCCTAAACCCCCTAAACCCCCCTAAACCCCTCCAACTCAAAAATAACGAAACCCTAGACCCTAAACCCTAAACCCTAAACCCTAACAGGGCTTTCGGATGCTTCGGATGAATTCGAGGAAGCTGGCCATCACGTCCACGCCGAACCAGGACAACCCTCTCATGGACGGAGTCGATGGCCCTTCGGCCCATAGCTGTTTTTTTTTAAATTTTTTTGTGGGGTGGTTTTTGCTCCTTAATTTTCGGTTTGTAACCCTAAACCCTAAATTAAACCCTTTAAGGCTTAGTGGTTTATTCTTAATTTTCCTTTTATAACCCTGAACCCTAAACCCTTCAAGGCTTCAGGGATGTAGGAGGGGAAGCAGCGCGTACAGGAGAGGTGGAGTCTTGCAGCCTTTTTGTAAAGCCTTGCTCTTTTTCCCAGCCGATATCGCACCACCTTTGTATCAAGGGGGTTGGCTACGAAGAGGCTTCATCAATAAAGTTTGGAGCTGAGTCGCAGGGTTTTGAAGCCACTCGGTTCTGAGCCTGTTGGCTGCCAAATCATCAACCAACCATGCTGTGGCTCCTTCTGATGGTTTCAGGGTGTAGACCCTAAACCCTAAACCCTAAACCCTAAAAGGGTCCAGGGTTTAGGGACACAAATCAGACGGAGGCCCCCATTCCACGAGGACCAAATCACAGGGCCACGGATGAAGTCTTCGAGCTGGGCGTCGATTCACATCTCCCCAGAATTCCGACGAACCATGCTTAAACCTGAGCCCTAAATCCCTGAAAAGTTCCAAAGCATCCTTAAAAGCCCGCACAACCCCCAAACTCTGCGAAATTGGAGCCTGAGGCACTCAGGGCATCCCAATCTTGGGCTGTGATGTCTGGGAGCATGCCTACTACTTGAAGCCCTTTCGGCCGGATTTGGCAGGGTTTGGGAGTGAGGGTTTCGGAAATAAGGCTTTGGGCCCAGTGGGTTCCAGTGATTTACAGGGGTTTCGGCTGCAGTGCGGGCCCCGAACCCAAAAACCTCTGCAAGGGGGCCAGGGTTGAGGTGTAAGGCTGAGGGGCGCAAGCCTGACTTTGGATTGCACTTTCGAACTTTTAGGCCCTGTAGGCTGAGGTTTCAATGTTCATGGGCTTCAGGGTTGATTCGGAGGCGGCAGTTCTTTCACCTAGGTACCAGTACCGTCGCCCGGACTACATCAAGGCATGGTGGGACGTGGTCAACTGGAACCAGGCACTCCGGGCATGTGAGGGTTTGCGCAAATAGGGGGCCCCTAATATAGACCCCAAATAGTAAGATTCCCTGAAAATGAGGACCGCAAGAAGCTACCCCCAATTTCGGAAACGCCCATGTGTGCCCCGAGGTGTTTCTGTTAGAAGGATGAAGGCTTCTCGAGGTCACCTGCACACGTGCCCGGCGAAAGGACCAGTCCAAACCCCAAATCAAACAAGGCAGACACAAGGCACACACACACACACACAACATGATTATTACGATGCCGATGACGGAAGCAGTTTGCAAGAGACGGCAAGCTCAGCAAACCCATGCTGATTTTGTAGGCGTTTCGACTTCTTTGTTCATTTGTAATCTGAGAGGTTGAATGAACTCAAACTACCTTTCTCAGGACTTGCTGGTGGGGTTGTGTCCCTCGAACCTCCGTCAGCCTCTATGACTCTACGGTGCACAAGAGTCTGAGACAAGTTAGTCCACGTGAGAAAGTCTTCGTCATCGGCGTCCAAAGGTTTCCCATGCGAGCACTGTATGGTTAATTGCAGTCTTCATGGCAGGTCAGCGCGTGGTACGAGGACGCCTTGGGTGGAACTGCACCCACTGCGACTCGGCGACAGAATGCTACCATTGCATGTAGACAATGTACTTTGAGTCTCTAGACATCAACCACAAAAAAAATGTTACAAGCAACATGCGTTGAGCAATGTGCATTTCGGCTATGCTTCATGGAGTTAAGTATAGGGCCCGTGCTAAAAAACAACATCGTCGTACCCCGTCAAACACGCCACAACCCTCAATGCTACTTCAGCCACTGGGCTTTGAAATGCTGGTGTACCCTACCCTAACCCCTCTAAACCCCAACCCCGAAACCGTGAACGCTAAACTCTATGAGCCCTGAGCCCTGAGCCCTTGTCACTCAAGGCGGACTCCGCCACCTCGGCAGCAGCCCTTGCCGGGCGGAAGGCACCTGCCTCGTTCAACCTGAAGCACCTTGGACCACCTGGCTTAGGTTTGCGGTTGATGCTCAGGTTCTGAGGGTTGGAGGGGTTGTCGGGTTTTAGGGCTTCAGGGCTTGTTAAGGTTTAGGATTTGGGACCTGCTTGCTTCTAACGTAAGATGCCTCAGAGTGATTCAATAAACGAGCCTCCCGCACCCCCCCCCTCCAAAGTGGCTGCAGCTACTTTGCGTCTAACCGCAGTTTTCAACGAAATGAGGGTTTGTTGGTTCGGGCACGCTCGGGGGATTGCAAGATGTCAGGTTTGGGCGGCTTGAGACCAGCTTGCAGGACAAACCATGATAAAAGCGTAACAGACCTTGAGCCTTGCTGGTTCTCCCAGGGCTTAGGACTAACTTTTTCTACAAGTTTGCCATATCCACCCCTAAAATTAAGATCCCCCTAAACCCTAAACACTAGACACTAAACCCTAAACCCTAAACCCTAAACCCTAAACCCTAAACCCTAAACCCCTAAACCCTCAAACCCTCAAAACCCTAAACACTAAACCGCAGAGGCTCGGCTTCGAAGCCAGCGCGAAGTATGGCTCGTGAGGATGCTCGCGCATCTGAGCCCTGTAGCGACTTCCTGCGTGCGGTGAAAGGTTCCGGGGTTTTGGGGTTTTAATTATAAGGTTGGGGTTTAGGGTCTAAGCGTTTTAGGGTTTCTAGGGTCTGAGGGTCTCCAAGCCCCTTCTTTCTTGACCGCCGCCGCAGAAGGTCCGCCGCAGTATCTATAGATTGCCTAGGCTATCAGACCCGCGACCCCTTTGAAGTCTTTCAAAGAAAAGGAGCTGCTTCTGCGAGGGTGTTCCCGCCACTATGATGCCAAGGGCTCGACAGTTCTGACAGTTGCCATATGGGTGTTTACGATCATAAGGGACCCCGAATATAGACCCCCAAATAGTAGGATCCCCTTGTTATAGTAAGGACCCCCAATAAGGTACCCCTAATATCGTAAACCCGCCCATATGTCAGGGTCATATAGGGCGTTGGGCTCATGGGATTCGGGTGTGTGCGGTCTGGGGCGAATTTGTGCGGCAAGATGGCGAAGTCAAATAAAATATACAGCAGATGGAGTTTCATGGGGTTCATGGTTTTAGGGGTTAGGGTGTAGGGTTTAGGGTTTAGGGCCTGAAAGTGGGGTAAGTGTAAGTGCAGCTACACCTGACTGCAACCCTGCCTGGGGGCACTGATAAAGCCCACCATTTGCTTCCATGATTCGTTAAGACCCTTCTTCACTTCTTCGTAGGGGGGGGGGATTGAAATCATGAGTCCTTCTTAGTACTCCAAACTCCTCTCTAAGAATGAGACCAAAACAAAAGCCCAAAGAGGACCCAACAAGTGGATCAGGCGGGGTTGCTGTAGATACGGCTGGTTGCAACATTCTTCGGGCACAATTTGCCAACTCCCATGACAATCACGCAAACGCCCATTAACCTCCAAACCCGAACCCCAAACCTTTTTCACAGATCAACCGCCCAAATGGTCGAACGCCCGTTGCGGAGCTCGAAGGGATCATCGCAGGCCGAGATGCTCTCGCTGCTGGTGCCCATGCAGGAAAACCACCAGCCGCTTTGAGGCAATTACCTAGACCATAACCGTACATATATATATATACACACCACAGAAATCCATACATCGGCATCTTTTCCTGTATCTGTATCTCTCTGTACAAAGCCTGAACCCTAATCTCTGTTTCCCAAGTTTAACTCCAGACCGTACGTAAACCCAAGCCCACATGTTTTCCCAATCTGTCCTGAGCTGTGGATAAGAACGCAGGATTTGCTTCACCTGAATGAAACCCAAACAACTTCGTTCAGCCTGTTTGGGTCTGCAACCATCAACAGCCTGCTCAGGCCACAGGACATCGTGCCAGAAATTCCTGATGAGGCGCGCGTCATGGCTGTGTGTTGACTTGGAGAGTGCTACCCTGAAGTTTCGGCTTTTAGAATCCTAACAGAATAAGGTCACGCCGGCATGGTATGCAGACATGCGGTCCGAGTTACCCGATTCACCCATCTATTAGGAGGCCTCCGAATAGATGGGTGAATCGAGGTAACTAGGACGCCCCCCTGAGAACCACCCAAACGCTACTCAAAAGGAGTGGAGCCGCAACCAGCCAAGCCAAAGCCAGCTGCAAAGCCAGCCAAGCCAGCAAGTTTAGATGCTGTTCGGTTTGGGCCCAACCTACAAAGCCACAGCCCGATCCGGCCCCTTTGCTTGCATCAGACGAAGTAAAATCACCACCAGCCACCGTAGCACAGCTACCGTTTGCCCCACACACACCCCCGCCCACCTCAACCCCTCCCCCCCGCGTTCCCTTTGAGCCAGATATAGGGTGTAGGGCTGCGTCTGCAGGTCTTCGGAGCCTGTGAGTGGCAGCCCCTGATCATCCTTCCTCTCTTGGAAGAGGGCCTGAGGATGGGGGCTCAAGGTCCCAAAACCCCATAGCCCCCGCGTGCATCGTGGGGACAAGCGCAATTGAGGAGCTCAGAGTCTAGAGCCTGGGCTTTTGAGATATGCGCAGCATTTTTCCAAAGCAAAGTTGCAAGGCCATGCCATGTCCCGTACCGTAATATTTCCCCAGCTGCAAGAGCAACTTGCAGACGACAGAACCGCTACTCTGATTCAGTAAACCTGTAAGCTTCGGGGTTCAAGGTACCTCGCCACCTCAATCCTGTTGTTCAATCCTTCAACGATTATAGCCAGCTCGATCTAGGGCCTAGGATCTCACTCCAGGCTCAAGTTCAATACCTAGTCCGGTTGGATTCAATCAGACACCCTGTGCCCCTTTACTGTCTCCTGAGGCCCCGCCGGCAGACGCCGATGGGAAGCATCTCCGAAAACAGCTGGCCGCCGTGCGCTCGGAGGGACACATCCTGCGGCCCGCAACCTGCGGTGCCCATGAAGCAGCTCCAAGCCAGCAATTGAGGCCCCAAACCCTGAACCCTGAACCCTAAACCCTAAACGAACCCTGGCTGAGGCCCTCCCTGCCGTCGCCGCGGCCAGACACCCGCGCACGGGACACGCTGAAACACCTCGAAGAGGTGCCATGGGCTTTGGGGCCAACTTCTATCTTTATACAAGATAAGGTAGGGTTTAGGGTTTAGGGTTTAGGGTTTAGGGTTTAGGGTTTAGGGTTTAGGGTTTAGGGTTTAGGGTTTAGGGTTTAGGGTTTAGGGTTTATAGCTTTAGGGTTTAGAGTTTAGGGTTTAGGGTCTATATCGTATACAATGCACAAAAAGTCATGTGAAGTAGAACGGAATAACTTGGTCAGCTTTGGATAGGGGTTTAAAGCTTCGGGCTTTAGGCTCCTTATCTGGTTTGATGGGGCTTTGTAAGGCTTACCGCTTCGAGGCGTCAGGGTTTGAGGTTTGAGGGTCCAGGGTTTCTGGCTTTCGGGTCGTTTTTTAAAGCTTGCGAAGTTGCTCAGGGGCTCGGCACATGTAGAGCCTCTGGGCGTTATGGGGCATTCGACCTTTGAGGTGGAGTTTCTGATTCTCAGAGCTTCGGGGTTGCGTAGCATGCGGGGTGCCGGGTTTGAAGTGCGGATGGGTTTGGGTTTGGGGTTTCGGGTTTGGGGTTTGGGGTTTGGGGTTCGGGTTCGGGGTGGGGGTAGGGGGGGGGGAGCTCAAGGCGGGTGTTGCTGCATCTTGAGGCCAGCTCCCCGCACATTTTGCCAGGAAGCCCGGAATTGCCCCTTTTACTTTTAGATTCGGGTTCTACGGGTGTTATATACGATCAAACAAAAACATCGGCCTCTTCTCAATAGTTTCTGGGCCTTTTGCCTTTGTCTCTGTGCACTAAACGTTAGACCCCACATCCTAAACCGACTTGCCCGATCACGTCTGCAGGGCAAAGTCTTCGAGATGTAGTGCCTTGCGGGGTAGTATATTACTCTAAAAGGCTCCAGCGCACTTCCTTTGGGGTATGTTCTCTGATTTACTTTGCAAGCCGTACCCCCGAAATCCTAGCCTCTCGGGGCTTTGGCCGGCTTCTCCATAATGCCCGGCCTTCTTAGACCTTCATGCCTTAGTCCCCCACAACCCCCCAAAAGCCCCAAAGTCACAAACCCACCGTCCGAAACCCAAACGAGAAGTCAAGCGTGATCCAAGGCCTTGCTGGGAGCTCGTGCCAGCCCAGCCGAGGCCATCATGGATCCGAACATGAAACGTCGTAGTATAGGGGTCGGGATAGGTCACGAATAGTATTCCCCTAGGGTCCGTATATTTATATATATATATATATATATATATATTAATACTTATACTATAGTTTACCCCAAAAACCCTATTCGAATTTTTACGGCCCCTATAGTACCACCCTGTTGGAACCACGGTCCCTTGGCATGGTCCCTTACCCTTGTTTATAGGGATCCGAAGTATGGGCCTTTGTTATGTATAGTTTATATAAAGTGCTATATAACAACCCAAATTATATATATATATATATATGTATATGTATATGTATATGTATATGTATATGTATATGTATATGTATATGTATATGTATATGTATATGTATATGTATATGTATATGTATATGTATGAGAAGCCTTCTAATCTAAGCAAAAGGGATTGGATGCTCAAGCAAGGATTGAGTAAGGTTTTGCAGTGGGTTTCCGCAGTTGGGCGGCTGAACCGGATGTCGCGCACATACTGCGACCTTTCATAAGGACCTGCAAGGACCCCGTCAACCCCCAGCCTCGAAAAGCCTTGGACGCCGAACCCCTTAACCTGACTCTCCATGCCCCCAAACAGGAATTCTTCCCCTAAACCCTAAATCCAAAAGCCTAAACCCGAATCCCAGGCTTCAGGTGATCCGAGCCTGGTTGAGTCAGAGTCGGCTATCGTCGAGCTGGAGGACTCACTACTCGGTTTTAGGGGTCAGGGGCTTAGGGTTTAGGATTTTTTCATATGCCCTTAACTGAGGCGATTGCCCTGCGGTTTAGGGTATTAGGGTCCGGGGCCTTGGGGTGTTGCCTTCAATGGTGTGCATCATGCACATGAAGGTTCGTGTGGGTAAGAGGTACTAGTTGGGATGTTCCCCTTATGCTAACAGTCCTCGATAGGGATTATAGTACCCGGATTATAACCCCTATTAAGCACTGTTGGTATAAGGGGGAACATCCCCAGGTACCAAAGCTTCATAAGGCCTGAATGAGAGCAACTAGAGCAGCTAGTCGCCAGAGTGGGGGTTTCGATTCTTACGCCGACGTCGCATGTCGGGACACACATGCGCCCCTAGACGCCGCACCCTAAGCCCTAAACCCTAAACCCTAAGGGTACCTATAAGGTTGTACTGACTATGGGCCAAGTAAAACAAAACAAAAAACAATGTGGAAAATCCTGCTGTGAAGGTTTTCCCGCCTCAGAGGTCGGCTTGCCCACTCTTCAAGTCTGGTACAATTGTACGATGAGTTGGTTTGGGTTCTGTAGAAAAAAAGCCAGAAAAGGCTATACCCCAAAACCCTAAACCTTACAATCCTTATACGCCCTAAACCCTAAACCTCAAGCCGCCCCAAACCATGGTGTCGTTAGGATCCATTCCTCGCGGCGCTGTGCCGCCATGAAGAGGAGCCGTTCTGCAGACTTAGCAGCAGGCGAGCTACAGAACAGCAGGTTGTACAGCACCGCACAGCCGAGGGGCCACTGCACCGGAATGCGGCTTGTGATTTTTGGCTTTTAGGAGGGGGAAGGGGGGGGGGGGGGGTGCAGGGAGAAGAGGCGTTAGAGTTTAGAGATTCATGCCGATACCCTTTTCTTACAACGCCCCCAAGCCTCCGGTGATTCCCCTGACGAGAGCAATAAACTATGGGGCCCTGAAGCTGAGATTGCAAGCTCCCTAGGCGGCAGATGGCTTTATATTGGCGACAAGTCAAAGCAGCGCGGGCGTGAGATTCATGGAAGATAGCGAACCCTATAACCTTGGAGCCTAAACCTACCGGCACTTCGCGGATGTCGCATGAGGAGCAGGGGCGTGAGGAGGAGCTTGCTGCAGAAGAGGTCCAGAGCAGGGGACGCGCAACCCTAAACCTGGCCCTGGCAAGTTCCCGAAGAACCCTCGACCTGCTTTGTTTGTAGGCTCTGAATCAAAGACCCCGAGTCTGAGGCAATCCAACAGAAAAAAACTGCTTTTCCTGAAGGTTGTTATTCGGGATTCAGGACCGAGGGTGCAGAGAACCCCCACCTTGAAACGGATAACTTTGATGATGCTTCCCGTGTCTGCAGGTTTGAACTATGCTAACCCCGCGAGACAAGCACGGGCATCAGTTTATGCTTAGGGTTCTGGGAACCTGGAAATAAAGGGGACACATACTCGAAATGATGAACTATATGGGCGCTCTTTAACTGAAAGCCGAAAGCGCGGTGTGGGGGCGCAACGTCATGGATAATACAGAGGGTTCCCAGCAGTAGCCCCAGGTCCTCAGTCAGTTAGGTCAAGATCCCTTGCACCCCCCTTTGGCAACAACCCTAAACCCCCAAACCCGTTTTTCCTCCTCGGTTTTCTAATTCCCGAGGTGCTCTAAACGGCAAGGGTAAGATCAAGCCCCTCACCACGAGGTAGATAGACTTGTCAAAAGACTAGTCCTTATCTTAGTAGCAGAGTAGATAACATTTAACCTTTTGGGGAAATTACAATCCTGCCATCATTGAATGGTTAGCCCGGTTATATGGGGTTTCAAGGGCAGATGCAGTACAAATTAAGTGGAGCTGAGCCCTTCCTGGGCCTTCGCGGCATGAACCCTAAACCCTAAACCCTAAACCCTAAACCCTAAACCCTAAACCCTAAACCCTAAACCCTAAACCCTAAACCCTAAACCCTAAACCCTAAACCCTGAGCGGCAGTAGTTACCGAGAGGCTGCGGCCGCAGCGGCCTCGGAGGCAAGAGGCTGCCGCAGCTACCTTGCCAAGGCATTGTAGGGTTGAGGGTTTGGGGTTTGGGGTTTAGGGTTTGGGGTTTGGGGTTTAGGGTTTAGGGTTTATTGATAAAAGGGTTGTCGGGTGCCAGGGTTTACGTGGTTTATAGGGCTTTCCAAGGCACTATAGGGTTGAACCCAACCTCACGACCTCGAGCGGGAAGGGCGGGAGGGTCGTGAATGAAACTTACAAACCGCGTCAAGTCAACCCTAGCACCCTAAAACCCTTTGATCAATAAACCCTAAACCCTAAACCCGAAACCCTACACCCTAAAACCCTAAAACCCTAAACCCTAAACCCTAAACCCTAAATAAACCCTAAACCCTAAACCCGAAAACCCTACGAATCAACCTGCGGGCTTGAGAACTTTTTGCAAGAGGGTGCCTGAGAAGACATAATGAGCAAGCTGCAACTTGGGTTCAGAATTTAGGAAACCTGCAGATTAGAGGTTGACTAATTGGGATTTGCGGGGCCCGAGTTGGGATGCTGTTTGGGGCATAAATGCCGTAGGGTTTACACGGCTCATAGGGTGCATAGTGGCTGCTTGGAGGTTCAGGGATAGTTATAGGAGAGCCGTGGTATACTTATATAGGACCACTTTGTTCTTCCTTCTTTCGGGGGTGCTTGCCAGCCGACTGTTTAGGGTTTAGGGCCTAGGGTTTGAAGCTTGATTGGTCGCACCTTGTGCTCGCTGCAGGTCTACTCCCAGACCGCTGGCGTAGCAGACCAAAGGCCGGGCGCTACAGAAGGGTTATAAGGGTTATAAGGGTTTAGGGCTTAGGGTTACATAAAAACTTGGGATTGTGTAAACTTGCTTTTTTTCAGGCTCCAGGCTGTGGAGGGCTTAGGACTTTGACCCCTGCTCTCCCATAAGCCCGTACGCCAACGTAGGCCCTTTGGTGCCCTCGGGTTCTCAATAGCCTGTGCACTGCAGGATGCTTCGCTACAGACCTTGACAGCTTTAGTTTAAGAGGCCTGCAACCCCGAATACACACCGCAGGCACGCGAAGAAGATGAAGCAGGAGGTGCCTGCAAGCTGCACCAGTGCATGTTCCGGTGTCCTAATTAGCATGAGGGTCTGGCAGCAAGTGGTATAGGGTCTTGGGTGTATAGGGGCTGGAAGTTTGAACCCTAATTCAGTGCTAATTCAGCCCCGATCCCTTCAGTCCTTCAGTAACATCCAAGTGCGAAGACCTTGAAAGCTCGGTTAATATGCCTTCTATGCCCCGCTACCAGGGGGGGGCATGGCGGATCTCGGTCCAGTGGAGCACATGGACAGTTCGCCGAGAAGCACTTGGGCCCTTAGCACATCTGCGTCTTTCTACACCCTGAGCATGCGCGGAAGTGTCATGCAACTCTAAGCTTACCAAATTGAACCAGCATGTTGAGGATGTCGCATACCCAGAAAAACCCTAAACCCCGCACCTTCAAGGCATCTTCTGTCTCTCGATAGTTATGGATTTGTCGGCAGAGATTGCGAAGCTCTGAGGTATATTCTGGTTGAGCTTCTTAGTAGTAGAGTAGGTAACCTTTAACCTTTTTGGGTTAATATATTCCCCTTATAATCCCAAAGGTTAACCTTTAAAACCCCGAGGTACTGGACCACTAAGGCTTAGAGCTCTGCTGGTCAAGTGTTTAGCGTTTACAGACATCTGGCCGTGTTGTAGTGTTGCACCTGCTTTAGTAGGGTCCCATGAATTAAGTCAAGCTTGCCAGGCTATTCAAGATGGTATGATCCATTATTTGCTTAAGAACCCCAAAAGAAAACATGATAATCCCTATTACCCTTAATGAGGAAGAATATGTTCGTTTTTTCGGGGTTATTAAGCGATTAGTAGTGATTGTTTCGGGGGTCTAGGGTGGGGTCCGCACAAGTCTTCTGGGTGTCGTGAGAATTTTTTGCACGGCGCGCCTTTAAAATCAATCGCGGGGCCCGCTTCTGAAGTTCATATAACCTCGTCCCAACTAAAATCACATAAACCTCCCGAGGTCGTTTCAATTGGGACAAAGTCAGCTTCGACTGCTCGTGGGGGGTGGGTGGGTGGGGGGGAACACTAAGGCAGTTGCAGCATAAAAGCACTTCGGTTAGCCTCACGGAGTTGCACACTTAATGCAGCAGCTTGTATTATCTGAGCCGGAACAAGAAGAAACGAAACTCGACATTGCTGACGAGCCGCATCTACCCCCTGAATAGCTTAAGAACCTTAACTTCAAGAAAGCAACGCTGAACTAGAGGCTGCAGCCGTGGGGGCAAGATGGTGCCGCGTGTACCTTACCAAGGCCGCAGCTAACTACCAATATCATGTGCCTTTTCAGTGGATGCTTGGGAGGTCAAGGGCGAGGGGTTGGCTTTTTTTATTGGTTGGGGTTTAGGGATTGGGGTTTGGGGTTTAGGGTTTAGGGTTTAAGGGCGCTCTTGTAGAGAGTGCACGCCGTACGTCACCCATCTCTCGGCCGAGAGCCTGGAAGCAGTCCATTCCTCGATCTTCCCCTGAGCCTCGTGCAGTCGTAGCATCCTGTGGGCGTGCTAGGCCGCTAGGCATTAGCTGCCTTCGCCTATGAGATACAAAAAAGGTATTCATACATATACACACATGTGGATGAGGATGTGTTCATATATATATATATATACATATGCATTTATGTGTATGTTTCTAGTTATTTGCTGGAAGTGGGATCATCAAAAATGTTTGTTCAGAGGGTACTACAGGGCCAACTGTAACTGGGAGGTCTACTCCAAGGCCGCTCAAGTGGCAGACGGAAGGCTGGGCAGTTGCAGGGCTTATAGGATTTATAGGGTTTAACGGGTTTATAGGGCTTAAAGGGCATATGGTTTGTAAGGTTTCTCGGGTTTATAGGGTGTACGGGGTTGGTTACAGAGCCTCGAGGTCTAGGTTTTGCCCATAGCTACTACCTAAGCAGTATCTACCTACAAAACAACACACAATGGTTGAAACTTTCCGAAGCTTGCTCCTTCCCGCATCCTGGCGACTAACTCTAGCTGTAGGGTTTTCTGGACGGTTGCCCCACGTGAACTACGACGACTTGAACTCCACAAAGGGGTTAGCCACTTAGGGCCTACAGTGACCCTCCATGTTGCTCAAGTACAACTACCATGACACGAGCTTTGCCCTTGCAAGGGTTCTGGGGTACTGCCTGTGGGCACGGCCCTCACCCTTGCTGGCCTAAGCTCCGGCGGTCTCCGATTGGCTGGGACTTGGTTTCAATTTCGGTTACGTTAAGCTGCAAGGTGAAATCGTGTCATCATGCGTGCTTGCTTTTCTTGCAGTCGGGTTGAGGGATTACGGGTCCCAACCCTAGATCCAATCCCCTGTGCTGTCAAAAGGCCTGAAGCGAAGGGAGCCCGGATGCCCAAAAACATCAAAACCATACTAGGTAGGCCTTGGGATGCATCCTGTGTCTCACTCTCGAAAGCCTTTCGAGGACTCCAGGGGCCTTATTTGGGATGTCCCTGATAGTAACAGTCCTTCAGAGGGATTAGAGCCCCCCCCCCCCCCCGAGTATAGTCCCGTTTAAGGACTGTTAGCATAAGGGGGAACATCCCAAGGCCTGTTGTTATGGCCTTACAAGCGCATCCTTTTGCTGCCTTGGCTGCAGGCGCCAGAAGAGGGAGCTGCAGGTGCCTGCGAGATGCGAAGTTTTGCTCTAAAGCCTCGGCCCGACAGCCTATAGGCCACAAGCCCAGAGAAGAAACCCCAAGCCCTTTTAGGGTTTAGGGTTTGGGGTTTAGGGTTCAGGGTTAGGGTTTAGGGCTCCCCCTTAAATTCCAGCTCACAGGGTGGAGGATCATTGGCACTCGTTGCCTCGGGCGTAAGGATCTAAGGGTCTATAGGACCCAGAGTAGGCCCTTATCCCCGTTTTGTTAGGGGTTAGGTTCCCGTTTAAGCCCACCCTTAAAACCCAATAAGGGCACCCTTTTTTGATGTCCTAGGCTGCTCTTGGGTCTCGGGGTCTACCTGCTGAGGGTCCCCAGGATGCCGTGACTGCCTGAGTGCAACAGCACACCTTATCAGCACTTCGAGGTTTGGAACGGGCCTCTGGGCTTTCCATGTCCTCAACCCTAAACCCTAAACCCTTATAAGCCCTAAGCCCTAAACCCTAAGCCGTGAAGTGAAATGCCAACAGAGCTGCAGGGCCAGGACGCTGTGAGGCGTGAGTGCAGGCTTTGTAAGTGTATCACCCTACTTGAACCCTATTAGCCCTATGAGCCCTATATACCCCCCATAATCCTATATCCTGTGTACTCTGTAGCCAGTTTATCCCTAGAGACTCCACAGCCCCTTATGCAGGGGAACAAGCTACCCCCCCAAAGCCACGATTGCTTCTAAACCCCGAAGTAACTCTAACCCCTAACGCCCTTAAGCCCTTCAACTCCTTAGTAGTAGAGTAGGTAACCTTTAACCTTTTTGGGTTAATATATTCCCCTTATAATCCCAAAGGTTAACCTTTAAAACGCCGAGGTACTCGACAACTAAGACTCTAATCTGGGGCGCGAATCCTAAACCCCAAAACCCAAAACCCTGCAACCCTAAATCCTGAACCCCTTTGTCGAAGGTTCCGCCCGGCCTCCGTGTGCCCGTTTTGTACTTTTTAGGCTCGATGCCGCTTAGTCCGAGCCTCGGAGCCAGCGCTTTGCCGATCCTGGCGCTGCGCGGCTGCATTTTTGGCGGTTGGCTGTTTTAGGGTTTAGGGTTAAGGGTTAAGGGTTTAGGGTTAAAAGTGTTTAAAGGGTGAAAAGGGTTCGAAGGGTTTGGGGCTTTATAGGGTTTTCTGCAGGGTTTGGGGTTGAGGGTTTGGGTTTAGTTGCGGGGTGTTCATGACAGGTGACATTTTGTGCAAGATAGCAGGTCTGAGGCGGGGAGGGGGGGGAGGGGAGGAGGGAGGGCGCGGGAAGAGAGAGGGGGGGAGGACCCAAAAACGGTCCGGAACAGGGGGCTCTCAAGGCTCGTAGGTCGCAGGGGAGGTCGGGAAAAGGTTTCAGAGCTCGGGAAAGTTTAGGGCAGGGTTCAAGGTTAGTCGGGACATTCGGGTTCAGCATGGTTTCGAGGGGACCCAAAAGTGGATAACTGGGTTCCGGAGGGTTTGGGGTGGGGGGTGGGGAGTCCAGGGTTACTTTAATTTAGACACATGAGTCCCTAGTTAGAGGCTGCCGTTCCTATCTTTCAGGAATCTCCTGTTGCGTAGCTGCAGTACAAACTTCAAAGCAACCTTTCGTCCTCGATCGTTGCATGGTGATCTTGTGAGTGCATGTGGTGTGTAGATTGGCCACCTGAAAGCTCAATTTTGCCGAGCTCAAGAGGCCTAAGCCATGTACACTGTCTTCCAGTAACTGGTAGTTCCATCTTGAAGCCAACTATTCTAGAAAAGCGGGTGTGTGTGTGTGTGCATGTAGTGCTCAGGGCTAAGTAGAAGATGAAGAAGCCTCCCTGAAGCCACTCCGCAGGCTTCACACGCCCCGCGTGGTGCCTTGGACACACTACGGTGGCCTGAGGATCTCGCACCAAACCCCACGCCCTCAATACCCTGAACGCCTTACATAACACAACCTACGCCCAACCCAGAATCCCCACATTTCTTACTTCTAGGGCAAGTCATGGCCGCATCGACAAGTGTACGCTACAAGGGCAAGCTTACTTTAGGTACACCCTGAACCGAAGTAGGGGCACTCCCCGGGTTCACACCAGTTCAGGGTTTAGGGTTTAGGGTTTAGGGTTTAGGGTTTAGGGTTTAGGGTTTAGGGCGTTGAGCTATAGGATTCCCGATCATGCCACGTTATCCTTGGCTGTGGAAGCGACTTCCTTAGGGGTTCAGCGTCTGGGAGGTTCGGCCACAGGCTAGGCAATCTTGCACGCGACGTCGCTTCCCTCAATCAAGTTTGTCGGGCCTGAGTCTTAAGTTGAGGCACCGATCTTTGGGAAGTCAGCAAGTCCTCTAAGCCCTATACACCGTGGACTTCGACCCTTACAAGGGCCCTAACCCCTAAAGCCGCTAACCCAACGCCCCAGACTTCGACCCCTGCACCCCCGCAGCGAAGGTGTGAGATCTACCATGGCAAGCTCAGATCAGCCGCCCTTCCGCAGCTGGGAGCTCCTGAGTCCCAAGCCCCCGCAACGGGTGTAGGGTTTAGGGTTTAGGGTTTAGGGTTTAGGGTTTAGGGTTTAGGGTTTAGGGTTTAGGGTTTTTCAGCCAGAGGCGCCGGTGCCGTCTGAATTCTTCCATGGTCGGTGCCCCAACCAAAGACGAAGCATCTTTATCGAGCTCGACACCGCAACTCCCAAGCCCAATCCTGGTCTTGCTTGGCCTGTAGGGCTTCTGGGTCTGTAGGGCATTGGCTTTGGCAATGGGATGGCTTTCTTTTATGCGGATGTCGCAGTCTACCCTCCATCTTTGGCGCTCGTGACAACCGAAAAACCGAGGGCCCACGATAGATCAACTTACGCCCAAAAACACCCCCTACAAAACCTAAAAGCCAGTAAACCCTAAACCCAAGTCACCAAGCACCGAACCCCAAACCGACATGACGAAAGCCCTAAACTTAAACCCTACAACCCTAAACCCACATCATTCCTTGTTTGAGCGGAGTGCTACAACGGGGCGCCATTCTGTTATCAGGTCACTGAGCAACTGAGACAGCCCCAAAAACCCACATCACCAAAGTGGCGCCCCAAACCCTAAATCAAACCCTACCCTACACCGCCGAAGCCCGACGCCCTACACCCCCCTAAACCCGGCACCGTAAACCCTACACCCCCTACACCCTAAACCCTAAACCCACAACCCCCTTCACTCTTCACCCTACACTCCAAAAAACCCTAAACCCTGCACCCCCTAGACCCTAAATCCTAAACCCTACACATAAACCCTACAGCCCAAACACTAAACCCTGCACCCCCCCCCCCCCCCCCCCCCCCCCCCCCCCCCCCCCCCACCCCGCCCTGAACTCCTTAAACCCCAAGCCCCCCTGAACCCTAAACCCTAAACCCTAAAGCCTAAACCCTAAACCCTAAACCCTAAACCCTAAACCCTAAACCCTAGCCCTACACCCCAAACCCCAAACCCCAAACGCCCCCCTCGAAGGGCGGCCCAGCCCCCTTCGGGCACTCCGAGCATGCCAGAATCCCTTCGCAGGCCGTGCCTTAGGGCTTAGGGATTTTTTTTGGGCTAATAAGGGTTTCGGGATAAGGGGTTTTGGGGGTTTTGGGGGGTTTAGGGGTTTTGGGTTTAGCATTTTGTTTGGGTTTTTTCGGTGTTAGGGCTTTGGTGTTTCAGGGCTGTAGGGGTTTTGGGGGTTTTTAGGGCTAGGGTCTAGGGTTTGCAGGATGCTATCGGTTAGATTATTATTGCTTTTCTCCGTCTTCTCCTTTTCCTGGGCGGGGGTGTATAGGTTGTAGATATTGGGTCTCTGCAGGGTTTATTCTACTTTTGGTGAGAGGGTGTCCAGGGTTCAGCTTGTTCGTGTTGCTCTTTTCTTCTTTCAAGTTTTTGGGGTCAGGGTTTAGGGTTTAGGGTCCGCGTCAGGTCGGCTTTGGGATTCGTTCTGATGTGAGATCTTCTGGGTCTCAGTATTTGTTTTGGGTTTCGGCCGGAAGTAGGGGTTTCGGGGCTGCCCGAGGCTTGGTTTCCGATAGCCGATGATGAGTACCCCAAGTAAGGTCACAGCCACTAATAGCTAGAGCTACAGACACACACACACACACACGACCCAACTCCTCGAAAACAAGGCCCCCAAATGGGAGGCTCTTAAGCCCTACGAATACAACCTGAGACAAGCACAGCTAAATCCTCAACGCCTCAACGCCTTGAAATCCTCTCAATCCCCCCGACGCATGAAACCCTGAACCCTCTGAACCCTGAACCCTACCGTCCTTCCCTGTTGGTTTTGCTATGGTTAGGGCTTAGGTTTGAGGGGTTACGGGATCAATGCAATTCCAAATAAGAGGGCCTACATTGAGTGAACCTCAGGTGCTATGAGCCCTAAATGCCCTGAGCCTTGGAATCCATTTCCCTTCCAGGCTCTCCGTTACAAACCCGATCGTCTTCTCTTCTACAGCCTGGGCGGCCCTGTGCGTAGGCAATGTACCAGTTTGTTGGCTTTTTTGCGTGCCATGGTAAAATGCGGGCTTTATAAATGCGCCGAAATCCACTGAGCCCGAAACCCGAAAACAATCCTGCTGTCTGTGAACTGCACCACAGCAGTCGAGTAGGGAGCCCTCAACGCATTGCTGTGTGGATGATCATGCCTCGAAAAATCTCTAGGACTAACCTTTAGCTTCCTCAGGAGCTCAAGATTTAAGGGTTTGGGTCTCGGGTTTGTCGTTGCTCGACCGAAATCCGAAACTCCCTAAACCCTGAACCCTAAACCCTACAACCGAGACCCTACACCCTAGGTAGGAATCTAGGGCTCTTGGGTTCAAGAATGGGGCCAAGCCTTCTCTCCGTGGTGGAAGATAGTTTGTTCATGTGCAGTACAGGCACAAGGAAGACACATCTCAATTCTGGGTTTGGGCTTCAGGCAGGGAACTTGTTTTGTTTGGCATGCTTTTTGCCCTTTTAGGAAGGGATAGGGTAAACCAAAAAGCCCAAAGCCCTAAAATGCCCTTAAGCCCCAAAAGCCATCCTAACATGAATTAAGGTAGCTTTCCTGGGGGTTCTAACATGAATTTTCCTGGGGATCCTGATGCAATCAAGCCGGAAAGCCCGTTCTTGAGCATCCCTTACTCTGCCTACGTCTTTCAGCGATATTGTTCTGCCCAGAGGATCACATGTAGGTTGTTTGGTTTTACGATTCCGGGGTTTACGGTTCTTGAGACTTATCCACCATCGCCAGGGAGGTGTCTCTACGAACCCCTGTTTCCTACCATGCCCTCTAACCCTAAACTCTAAACCCCAAACCCTAAGCTTTAGCTAAAGCCCCCCCCCCCCCGCCCCCCCCCCCCCCCCCCCCCCCGCCCCCCCCCCCCCCGCCCCCCCCCCCCCGCCCCCCCCCCCCCCCCGCCCCCCCCCCCGCCCCCCCCCCCCCCCCCCCCCCCCCCCCCCCCCCCCCCTCGCCCCCCCCCCCCCCCCCCGCTCGGGGACAGGTTATGCCATTTGGCAGGTCCCAGAGGCCAGAGCCTCGCAAAAGTTTTCGCTTGTTCAAGTTCAGGGGCTGTAAGGTCTTAAAACTTAGTAGTAGAGTAGGTAACCTTTAACCTTTTTGGGTTAGTATATTCCCCTTATAATCCCAAAGGTTAACCTTTAAAACCCCGAGGTTCTGGACAACTAAGAAGGGTACCGGTAGAGGATCTAGGGTTTAGTGTGGAAGGTTTAGGGTGTAGGGTTTAGGGGTTTAGGGGTCAGGGTACCGGTATAGGCTTTATGGTTTAGGGTTTGTGCGCTTTTGACACTCAGGTTTTGGGGCAGTTTGGGCTCTAATCGTTTGAGGCTTCCGGGGTCGAGGGTGTCTGGTTTTGGGTTTAGGTTGGCTTAGGGTCGAGCTTGGAGTTACGGAGTCTAGGATCTGGAGTTCGGGGTTTGAGGTTTAGTTGGGCGCTGGATGCCGCTGGTAAAAGGATGCAGGACTTACTCTGCGTTTAGGCGGAGGGACTGCGTGTGCTGCTTTACCTGGTTTAGGGCTTAGGGAAATCGCTCCTCTTTCGGTTGAGGTGGTTGCCTCATCTGTCGGATGTGAGGTTCAACCTCGACTCACGAAGGAATGGGCACCATAACATCTAGTAGGGGGAGCCTTCCTTTAATGGGCCTAGCCACAACATTCTAGCCCGGCCGGTTTGCTCAGGGTTTATTGCGCAGGGTAGTATTAGATCATGAATCTCTGCCTGGTGGTTCATGGACTGTAGCCGTAGAGTACTGTAGTAGCTCTGGGTCGGGAACTGAAGCTCTCTTGTGACCTCATCAGTGCCGCTTGGCAAACTTAAGACCTCGACCTAAACCCAAACCCCTGAACCCTAGACCCTAAACTCTAAAGCCGAAACCCTAAACCTTAAACCCGAAAACCTTAAACCCTAAACCCTAAACCCTAAACCCATTGAGGCCCCACTGAACAGCCCGGAGCTTTTGCGCGAGCAGCTGCAGCACCCTGGATGGAGCCTTCAGAGTTTAGTGGGTTTAGGGTTTAGGGTTTTAGGGCTTAGGATCCAGGGTTTTAGGTTCAGGGTTTAGGATTCTTGGTTGTAGGGTCTAAGTTCTTCAGTGTTCTAGCCCCCCCAAATAGTAGGATTCCCATATCCCCACATAGTATAGTGCATGGATCATCGGCCTCTTCTCCACCCGGTACAAGCCTGGCTCGTGGGTAGTTGTGACTGCGGGTCGAAGTCGGGGAGCCTCAGTGAATCACGGTTGCAGCCCTTGTGGGTGGCACTTAGAACTTAGAAGCCTACTTCCATGAGCCTTCAAGTACTTCTAGGGTGGCAGTAGTCTACGTCAGACCCCTTACTAACCTGACCCCACTGAGAGCACCGCGGAGGCTGCGCATCCGAAGCATCCCAGTGCCATCCAGCAGCCCCCGCTACCAGCAGTTCAAGGAGTGTCAGCCTCAGCTGAGCGGAATGCGTCGGGCGGAAACACCCCCCCCTGGGCCCCCCCCCTGGTTCTTAGTAGGGAATGAGGGCAGTAGGGCCATATATATATATATATGTATGTATATATGTATATATACCCCTTAAAAGGACTATGTAGCTGTATCTTGAGCAACAGGTACATGTGCCGAATGAGGATGCTTTGCTGAGTAAGGGGTACATAGGTTCCGACCTCAAAATCCCGAAGCCCGTCTACACCCTTGTCTACACCGAGAAAAGTTTAAACGAAACCTTCAGCTCCTATACCCTAAGGGCTCCATGTCCTCTTTCATTTGAGAGGCGGGGTGGGCTTCCAGGATAGATCGGGTATCGGGTTTATGGTTTACAACTTAGGTTGCATAACGGTTGGCGAGAGCCGAGGAGAGAGAGAAGTTGCCTTGACCCGTACCGGTATTCCTGGGGGCTGAGGCTTATAAACCCCTGTAACCCTAGCAAACCAGGCCCTTAACCTCTCGTTGAACACAACAAGGTCGCACTTTTTGCTTGGTACTGGGCAACACCCTAAGCCCTAAACCCTAAACCCAAACCCCAGCCCCTAAACCCTAAACCCTAAACCCTAAACCCTAAACCCTAAACCGCTATATAAACCCTAAACCCTAAACCCTTACGGCGCCAGGCAAAGCCGTTGGTAGTCCCAAGTCTGAACCGACTCCCCAAACCAGGGTTTATGGTTCAAGGTTTAGGATTTAGGGGTCAGGGTTTCGGGTTCAAGAGTTTTGGGATTAGGATTTAGGGTTCAAGGGTGTAGGTTTGGGGATGTGTTTAAGCGCTTTGGGTTCAACTACTGGTGTGGGGCCTAGGGCTTCGCATGCAGTTGGATAGGTTGAACTTTGAGCGATCTTCTTTTTTTTCTGTTTCGCATGTTCCGGTGATGACACGGGTTGTTCCCTGACAGGAACCCAGTCCACTTGAACCATGAATCTTGACCCATAACTCCAAGCAACCCGGAAATTGGATTTTCCTGTGAAGGTACTACACCCGAGAGCACGACCTGCAGCTGCAAGAGTACAAGGCTTTAGGGTTTAGGGTTTAAGGTTTAGGGTCTGTTGGTGTGGGTGTGTGGGTGTGTGGGTGTGTGGGTGTGTGGGTGTGTGGGTGTGTGGGTGTGTGGGAGGGGAGGGCGTTCGGGTTCGGGTTCAGGACTTAGGCTAGTTGGTGCGGGAGGTGGGTGTTGAGGGCTTCAGATTTGGGGTGTACGGTTTTCTCGCTTGGGGGCTTGGTCCAGGGCCCAAGCTATGCGATATTTCTCGGATTGCTCAGCGTATTTGGAGGTCCCTGCGAACGTATAGTAGGGTTATACGTACCCCCCCCCCCCCCCCCCAAGAATCCCCAAAAAGACAAGATTACGTGTCACTATAGTACAGCCATCTTGCTTATGACCACGGTATTAAAACAAAACCATGAACCTGCATACAAGGGGGCATCAGAGTCCAGTCCGGAAGCCCTTAGAATCTCCGGGGGGGGTACTTCCCTGCTCTTCGACCAAGCTCCCTTAATATGGCGAAACCTGTCCACATGGTCACTTCTCTAAGATATGGTGCCTTCCCCTACAAAAAGGGGCTCTTTGAGTAGCCCCTTGCGTAAGAAGGTGGCGCACAAGAAGTGGCAGCAGAGTACTGCCGCTTTCAACTGGCGGGCGTTTGCGCAAGGCTTGGGCGCGCCCAGGCTGAAGTATTAGGGTTTAGGGTTGTAGCGTTTAGGGTTTTAGGGTTTAGGCTTTCGGGGTTTAGGGTTCAACCGTCCTTGATTGCTCTTGTTGGTCGGTGTGTTTGCCTTTGCTTGTTGAATGTCCGTTCGTCATCTCTGAATCTGTCCACTGGTTTCTGTCGTTTAGCAATTCAGCAGTCTTGCTTTCTGAGCATTCGCCACCCCGCCGTTGACCGAATGTGTTTCTTGAACGTCGCTGTTCTCGGGTCCACTGTAAGCCTTAAACTCTGAGCCCCACAAACCCTAAGCCCCATGGGACCCACGCGCCCTTGAGAGTGAATGGCTCTAACCGAAGGAATGGACACATGGGCTTGGAGAGTTAGCGAGCTGCTACGTTACCGTTACTGTAGCCACATGGATGTGGGGTTTAACCCTAAACCCTGAACCCTAAACCCTAAACCCTAAACCCTAAACCCTAAACCCTAAACCCTAAACCCTAAACCCTAAACCCTAAACCCTAAACCCTTAGGTTGGCGTGCTCATCCTCTCCGCCGCCTTCGCTGTGCTGGAATACCACTACGGTGGGCTCCTGCTTGTTGCCCTGTTTTGTTTGACCCTGAACCCCTGAAAGTACCCCTACCCCCTGGTTCTTAGCAGGAAATGAGGGAATTAGAGCCCTATATATGCCCTTTAAAGGATTCTACAGGGTACCTTATTCCCTCACTCCCTACTAAGAAACCGCCAGCCCATTTCTCAAGGGGCCTTGCTCAACTTTTATGGAGGCCTCTTGATTCGACACCCAGGTTTGAGAGACCAAGGCCACCCTTCTTGAACCTTTCACTTCAGGACCCCACCCCCGCTCCCCCTTCCAAACCACCCTAAACCCCAAACCGTAAACCCTAAACCCTACGCCCTAAGCCCCAAGCCCTGGGCCCTTGAGGCCCTTGAACTCTGAACGCCCAAACCTTGAGCCCCAAACTTTTAACAGCCCCGACCACAGACGAAAGCTCGAGACCCCCCAAAATCCCAAGAAGTCCAGTGGTACCTGCGTTTAGAGTGTAGGGTTACCTATACACCGTGAGGTAGGGCCTTGGTGATTTTTTCAATTTTCCCTTATGGAGATTAAGAGGACCTTGTTACCCGTTTGCCTTTTTTGGGTGTGTAGTGGGGGGGATCCTTTGTAAAACGAAGCAATAGAACACATAGTTGTTGCACCCTCGTTCTCGTATGATATGGTTGCTGGGCTTCCCGTTACCCTTACTTGAAGGTTCACGGGTAGTTGTAGATGGGGTAAACATCCCGAGAATCGGAGGTCTGTCCTACCAAAGCACATACAGAACGACCTCTAGACGAAACAGGTAGCCGGGCGAAGATGCTTCTGAAGCAAATGGTAGCCACTGTTGCATGCGATCTGTGCAGACGTCGGTCTCTGGCAACCATGTGCGTCATCCCTTCGTATTTTGAGACAGTTGCGGTTTCCCTTTCTCCTCTAGCAGATATGGCTTCACTTTCTCCTCCAGCTTACTTGGGTGGGCTGTTTAGGGCTTGGCGCCAACCTCTGGATCTGCTCGACAATGCCTCGCTGAGTTACTCATCTCCTCCATCATCGGGGCAGTTCGAGAAAGCACAAAGGGTTTGAGACAGACTTCTGCTCAAGCATGGTAGGTGCGGCATGCAGCGTGGAGCCGAAACCCTTTGGGTTTTCTGAAACCCAGCTGAACCTCCCGGCCCAGACTTACTCAAAAAGCGACACACCCCAAAACTGGGATCCCGAGCAGTACTTTTGTCCTCGTGATAAAGTACGCAGAACAGGGTCCCCCCCCCCCTCCAATTTTCATAAACCCATGCCCCATAACGGTTCCAGACCTCAAAAGTACCCCTTCTCGGACCCCAGAGTCCATGCAGGAGCGATTTCCTACTGGATGCAGGCTGCCGGGTTGAAGGGAAGTGCTTTGGGAATTTGAGAACAATTGCTGTGCAGGCTGGCTCAGTCTGTTTGTTTGTTTTTTTTTTCGAGGCCCCGTTGCTTACTCGTTGATGATGGCTTTATCATGCTGTAGCCCCTTAGAGCCATGGAAAATCCTCTAACCCAACAGGTCTCAAACCGACCAAGCTTGAAGGCCTTAGACTTTCCACCATAAACCGCTGAAACCCCAAAATCCTACAGGCCATAAGCTCCCCGAAAGGCTAAGTCGTTGGGAAGCCCCGCATTGGAAGGTTGCCGAAGAGCTCTGGTGCGATGCCCAGCAGAAACGCCAGAAACGGCTGCAGCTTGCAGACTCAGCAAAGATGGAGCGTCTACTGCAGGCGCCCAGAGGTTCTGGGATACAACGTCCTGGCTTGAATTCAATTCCAGACATTGTTTGAAACTATACTACTTTGTGGGTTTAATAGTGACGCAGGGGCCGCTTAACAGAATAAAGGGTTTTAGGCCGGAGGTAGGAGCTTCGGGGTTTAGAGGAAAGGGGCCTCAAGGCCGCAAGGGTGGCCGAGATGGGCTGAAGAAAGCAGAGCGTTGTTTCCGAAATCCTCGGAAAGGGTTTAGGGTTTAGGGTTTAGGATTTAGGGTTTACAGTAGGGTTTAGGGGTTTAGGGGGTTTAGGGTTTAGGGTTTGGGGTTCAAGCAAGTCGGATGCTGGCACATCCATGCAGCTGGCGGCGGCATCTTCTGCTAAAAAGCACAGACTGGAAGTTGTAAACTGGTTTGAAATTACGAGCTGAAAGGGTAGCCTCGAGACACATGCACGCATACCAAGCAGCCGCTCATTTCTGAGCGCATGGTCTAACCTAGGACTGGGTGGGTAACAAGACTCGAAGCCCAAGTACCCTAAACCACTGCACCATGCTTACGTTGCAACCTAAGGGTGCAAATTCCTTCGAAATACCCTTTGGGCCCTTGGGCACAGGAGATGGGAGAAGGAGCAGACGATGCTGTAGGCGTGGAGCCAGGGAAGAGTGGCGAGATAGCACCGCGCAGAGCTTCACGCACTGAAACCTAGACGTTCAACCCCCAACCAAAGCCCCCGCAACCCCAAGACCTCAGCCCGAAAACTAAGACCCTGAACCCCAAATCGTCCTAAATCCCTTCAGACTCCAAGCCCCCAAATTTGCCCATTAGGATGTTTGTTGAGGTGTTGGGTCGAGATTGTTAGACTTCGCATCAACTACCCCTCACGCGGCTGGGTGCCATTTGGCTGGGGCTCGTTCCCGAAGCGCGTAAGGCGCCGCCACGACAGAAGCAGCAGCGAGGCTGTTGTCAGCAGTGTGCCGCAGTATGCCCAAACCTTCAGCAGCGTAGCATCCTAAACCCAAACGAAGAACTGAGTATTCCCAGTCCTAATCCATCGGCCTCACAGGCAATGCAGGTAGTTAACATGGCCGTCACATGAGCCCCTGAGGTTGTGAGCCTTCCTATTGTACTTCCCAACGTGAAACCTTCTCGGTTTTTTTATGCTTTCGGGCTTAGGGCCATGTAGGTATAGAATCTACTAAAACTAGACCCCGAAATAGTAGGATTCGAAAAAGGACCCCGAAAAGGTAGCCGTAAGTTAGAAGCCTCCGTGGCGCCATGGACTCCTTGGGCGAGCTGCCCTCGTGCGCCAGCCATGTGTCGACGGCACAGAAGGTGCGCTGCCGCCATGTGCGAACACACACTGCCATGTTAGGTTTGAAGATCGCGCAGACGCCCCTTGAAACCCTGAAACCCTGAAACCCTTTCATTAAACTAAACTCTGAAATCCCCAGAAACCCTAAACCCTTTAACCATTCTTTTTCATCGCCCCGACCCAACCTGCGTCGAAGTCCTTGGGCCTTAATTAGCGTCTAAATTTATACATCTGAGCGCCTCGAGGGCCCCGAACTGCAACATGATTTATTCTGTTCTTTTATGATGATACTATTGTATTCTTACCCGAGCATACTAATTTCTTATTATGTTATTACGTACCCTTTTGTTTTGATTGAAAGGCTTTGGTGCCCCTGTATGGGGTTTCGGTGTTTCGGTTGTAGAGTTTAGGGAGTTAAGGGGTTTGGGCTCAGGCGTTTGGGTGTTGGGTTAGGAAGGAAAAGGGTCTCCTAGTAGTACTTGGAAAGCCAGTCTCTGACCGAAGTCTTGAGCGAGCCTGGGCAGGGTTTAGGGTTTAGGGTTTAGGGTTTCAGGTGTAGGGATTAGAGTTTTGGGTTTCGGGTTTCATCATGTTCAGGTTGGGAACCCTCTCTAGGTAGGCCCTGGGTACACCCAACAGAAGTTTCCAGATTTGGGGCTCTTTCAAGAGGCGTTTTAGGGGGGGGGGGGGGGCAAGATAGCCTCGGACCTTCCACCTCCAACAGCTCCGGAACACCTGCCCCTAAGCTCCCCTGCCTGTCAAGCTTGAACCGCCCTAAACACCCCAAGCCCGCAACCACGAAACTAAATAGGGGGCCAGTGTAGAAAGAGCAGGGTTGTGGGAGGTCATTATCGGGAAATTATATGCAGGGGCCATAAGGAAAACCATTAGTGACTATTCCGACCCAAAAACTGCCACCCCCAAACCCTAAACCCTCAATCCTTGGGACCTCCCCTCCTTCGCACGTCCGCGCGCAAGGAGCTCGAAAAGTCCGACCCCCTCCTCAAGGACGCTGGAGGCTGTAAAAGAGGTGTAAGAGATTTGGTTTTGGGTTTAGGGTTCAAGGGTTGAAGAGATTTAGGGTGTAAGGGTTTAGGGTTTCGCAGGCCTTCGTATAGGAGCTCGGTTCGGGTTCAGGTTTGCAAGGGTATCTAGTAGGATTCAGGGTGTGCTCACATTGCCGGTGTATGCTAGACCCTAGACCTCGGGTGTGGCTCCCAAGCTTCATGGGTGCTCCTTCCAGGAGAATCCTCAGCGTTGGGTTCTCTTCCCGATCCAGTATCCTGCTTTCTACGAGATGTACAAGAAACATGTGGCCTCGTTCTGGACGGCCGAGGACCCTGCCTTTCTTAGCTTCTTGGCGGTTAGCAGATGGGCTATGGTGCGAGGTTTAGGGCTCTCAGGGTTTAGGGTTTAGGGTTTAGGGTTTTGGGTTTAGGATATACCCAGTATAGGACTCAATCTCGAAGCCCTGAACCTACATGCCGACGCGGTCATGCGCCGGCAATGCTTTGCAGGAGATTGACTTGGCACACGACCGCCCGGATTGGGAGAGTCTGTCAGATGGACGCTGGTCTAAGTTCGTGCTGGTGCTTAGGGTTGTGGGCCTTTAGGGTTTAGGATCTCGGGTTCAGGGTGGTCGCAGGCCCTGTGGGTAGAAGCTCCTGTAGCAAGAGGTTGGGACTGCGAGAAGCAGCAAAGTTGTTGCGACTTCGAGCCTCGTTACGACTGGGGGTTATTTCGAGTAGGAGAAGTATAACTAGAACTGGATGTGTTCTTGTTGGAGGTAAATATTGATGACTATGGCGCTGCAACTACCCATGAAGCAGGGCTTATGGGTTGTCTTGGAGCAATGGCACACGGGCCCACGTTATGTTGGAAGCCCAGACGCCCGCGCTGATTGCATGTCCACTGCACGGTTGAACCTACCACACCCCCCCCCCCCCTAAACCCTAAACCCTCAACCCTACACCCCAAACCCTAAACCCTCAACCCCAAAAATTTAAACCCTCAACCCCAAGCCCCCAAGCCCTAAACCCTACACACCCCCAAACCAAAAAATCCCCCCAAAAGCCCAGGGGAGCGCCACTTTCTGAAGCACATCTTGGCCTTCTTCGCCGCATCGGACGGTATCTTGGGTTGCCCTGGCTGGGGTTACTGGGGTCTGCTCTGGGGGCTGTTGCGGGGTCTGAAAGTAGGTGCCACTCCATCCAATTTTACAACTTTTCTACCGGAAACAGGGCAACTTGGAGATAATATGTTCTGTCAAATAGTGCAAGGGTTGTAAAAAAACTTAAGCCAACAAGAGCAAACACCTCAAACAAAATCTAGAAGTGCTTGTTAATAATATTGTTTCTTATGACTATTGCTATTGCTGTGGAATGATGAGAGCAAATGAAGTTGAGACACAATCAGCATTTGAGTAAGATTGAAAAATATGTTAGAAAAAAGCAAGATGCCAATGTTTAACGAATCTGATAGTAGTGTAGCAAGGGAGATGACACAATTGAAAACAATGGTTGCTAAAGGTGACAGTCTATTTAGTAAAGTGTTAATGTCATATGTTGGGAGCTGTTGTAGAATGAGAACTCGTGTTTTTGTCTTATTATATCAAACATATACAATAAGGAATGGCTAAAGAAATTTATAGGAACTTGCACGAACATACCAACATTACAATTCAGTTAGTATACAAGAAAGTATCCTGATAAATGGTTATGCGCATTAATCGTTTATGAATATTTAATAATGATCTGATAGGTTATGATAAAAAGGAAATTGACAATGACAAGGATGAATTGAACTCATACCTGTATGGAATATTTGATAACTATAGCAAGTAATTAACCAGCCTGAAGACATGTAAAGAAAACTCACCTGGATACATTATGGAGAAACAATGTCCCGAATGTAAATAGTCAAGACCTTATGACTGGTTTATAGAAGGAAGGAACTATGTGAGCAGTGTATAAATCATCAGCGAACCTATAGAGGAAGACACACAGGAGCAGGTAAACAATTACAGTAAACAATATTATAAAGAAAGCATAACTGACATTAAGGGAAAACAACTGATTGTTTTGTTCAAAACAGTAAAAGTAGTGTTCGCATAAAATCACAAAAGCGCATTAAGAATATGGAAGCATTCCACCAAAACAGTAGTCCTGAAACAAATTAAACTTAAAGCACCAAAACCCCAAACAACAATTAAGATACAATATGATAAATATGTGCTTTAATTCTTGGTAAAACGTATCAACCACCACAAGAAGAGAGCCCCCACAACAAGTATAAAAAACTACTAAACGTAGTGTATAGAAATATTGAAGAGAAAACCCTACAGACGCCCAACCCCCAGAACCCATAGGAAGAACGCGAATGAAGTAACAAAAGGCAAGAACGAAGAAGGTGGAACAACATGTTTACAGAAATCTATAAATTAATCTTTGAACCAATGAGCGGAACAGACCCCGCAACAGCCCCCAGAGCAGACCCCAGTAACAACCTTTTGCATTTTTTGGGTTTAGGGTACAGGGTTCAGGGTTTGGGTTTAGGGTTTAGGGTTTGGGGTTTGGGGTTTGGGGTTTGGGGTTTAGGGTTTAGGGTTTCGGGCAGACTCAACCATCAAACTGGCAAAAAGAAGCAGGCATCGTGCTGGAAAACCTGGCCACCAACTTCAGCTCGGAGATCCAGACCCTGGACAGTTCTAGCAAGCCTGTTTGCTTGACTGTATACAGCTGGCTCTCCCTCTCGCTCTAGCTCTCTCGCTCTCTCGCTCTCTCGCTCGCTCGCTCGCGCTCTCTCTCTCTCTCTCTTCTCTCTCTTCTCTCTCTTTCTCTCTCTCTCTTTTTACGGGCTTAAGAATGCAAGACCATCACCAGCATAAATTTCTGAAAAGGGTTCCAAGAAACCCTAAACCCTAAGCCCTAAACCCTAAACCCTAAGCCCTAAGCCCTAAGCCCTAAGCCCTAAACCCTAAACCCTAAACCCTAAGCCCTAAGCCCTGAACCCTAAACCCTAAACCCTAAACCCCTGAACCCCCAAGGATCCCCGAGGCTCGGGCCTTCTATGGCTTCCAGACGCTGGGGATCGGAAGATGAGGGTCCGTAGGGTGGGGTCTACTTGGGGATGTTTGGGGTTTAGGGTTTAGGGTTTGGGGTTTGGGGTTTAGGGTTCATAGGGTTTGGGGGTTTTGGGGGTCTGGGCCCATAGAGCGTGAGGTTTTGGAGTTTTGGGCTATAAGAGCTCAGAGAGTTTAAGGTCTGGAGTTTGGGGATTCGGGCTCATAGAGCTTCAGGTTTAGGCTTTGGGGATTCAAGTTTAGGGTGCAGG